TACTCCATCCTTCATCCGATCAAATATCCATCATCTGAGTAGACATATGTTACTCGTTCTTCATCATCTAAAAAGAAGGATATGATCTAGTATCTTATGGATAATGCCTAATTTTCGAATTATCCTATGAACTTCGTCCTTTTTCGACGATTATTATATGACATTAAGCATTAAGGCAGAGTATCAAGTACCTTATGCTCTTACCCAAATGGTTTAGCTAATTAATAAAGTTATGACTTATTACTAAACCCATTATTTTTCAAAATTTCAATGTGCCGGATACTTGGTGGGGAAATGCAATATTTATGCTAAAAATTTCGACACACTGCATATCCTTATTCCCCCTTTCTATCTAATACGTGGTTTTCAAAAAACATTTCCCAAATCTGCGTTTCTATTCTTATGAATGCAGTCCAATCTATTACATAACCACCAAAGCGTATCCATCTAAACTAAACCTCAATCTATTGTCTCCAATATTTAAAGCCCCTAAGAGAGACGTGATGGATACGCTGACTGCATGAAGATCAGTTCACGGCATTAGGGGGAGATATGATCAAAATTAAAATGGAATGCCGAGAAATTTCATGAAATGATCTTCAAAAATTAAATCCACGTATCAATTAGACTGAACTGAAAGTTCAGAAAGAAATCAAGAAATCAAACATATCTGCCAAATAAATCTATTTCATAAAAAGAGTGACTAGGTCCCATATACATTCCCCAAAATTTGGACCATAAATATCTATCGATACTCCTTGACGCCAGAAGTGCAGGAGATTCACTGTAATAGAAAAATAAAGAATTGATGTCACTCTTGAAAATCTTAGAGCTCTTGAAAATCTTAAAAAAGTTATATCTTTATAACGATCGTCCAGAAGACGAGAAAACCCAGAAATTTATAAGGTGCACCAAATATTCATAATACTGGGTTGCGGAACAACCAGATATAAATATCCTTGGGAAATGACTATAATCTGGTTAACTTTGAAAATTACTTTTAGATATATATGGGAGAAATTCTTGAAAATATTATAAGTTGTCGACAACACAGTTGCTTTCAAAATTGCTCATATTATATGACAATCTGGATCCAGAGCTAGGTGCCAGAAGCGCCTAGATTGATTAACGTATAAAGAGAGCAATTAAAGGCATATATAGCTCAACTCGCTAATATATTCCTTTTATACACCATTGAAGTATTAACCCTGTAGGTTACAAATGGTGTTTGTATAAAGGAAAAACAAGAATGGCAAGGTGGTGAGATATAAAGCGAGTCTGAAGCCTAAGGGTTCACGCAGAAACCCATAATCAAGTATACTCTCCCATGATGAATATCATCAAAAGTTCCGCTACATAATTGGCAGAATAATAAATTTAGATATGCAATTTATTAAAATCATGACCTAGAAATTATGGGTCATTAGACACTAATGTACATGTTTATATGAAAATCCTTGATGGATTTATAATTCTCAAAAATGAAAGAGAGTAAATATCACAACACGTTTGTTGTTGAAGTACAATTGCTTTACTCAACCTTAAAATAGTGAAGCAATTGATTGAGTAATTTCCTCCTAAAATAAGGAAATTATAGAAATGAATATGTACCATTAGGTACTTATTAAGGGGCTTATTGTAAAAATAAAGGAGATGGAAAATCAAGTATTATCTCGACTTGTAGATCGAGCATTTCCTTAAAAGGAATTTCATATACTAATGTCTAAATAATCTCCCGAAGTAGATAAAGGACCATTTTAACCTAAAAGGATAATTCAGGACCAGAAGTCCACTGCTTCAAAACATCATTTTTTTTAATACCTTTTCTTTGAGATAGATAGTTCCCAAATTCACATATTATTTTTGTAATTTATAAAGAGTGATTTGGTGATTCTCCTAGAAAGAAAAGGAAATGATGTCAATTAATATCCTTAGGATATAAAATACGTCTTTCGAGAAGTCATTTGAATATTGGCATTGTGTTAAATGTCATGACTTGGACTGATATATTATAAATCAATCATTACTTGTTCTTATAGATGTACTTTGTACATTTTCATCTCATCTACTATGCTCTCGCTTTGTTATAGAGATTGTTAAATTATGAGATGAGATCAAGAATAGCAAATCAAGGTACAAATATTCATATTGATGTCTTTTTTGACATGAAGTCATCATACTTGGACAAATAAACGTATATAGTTTTCATGATATAAACTCCAGAAGAGTGATAAAATATTTATCAAGAAGATTTGCTCTAGTGACAAGTTAGCAAATGTATACCTACAGAATATCTATGAGATTGATATGCGTGGGTAAAGAAAATTATTATATTTAGGGGGAGCAACAAAATATAAACTATAAAAATTTTTTATTGGTTCAGATGATCATGAGAAAATATGATAAAATCTAATGACAATCCTGAAGATTGTGCCACATCCCTTGATAAATTCTAATGACAATCCTGAAGATTGTACCATATCCCTTCTCTTTTGAAACAATGATTTTACTTTAAACAATGTAGAATTTGAAGATTGTTATCTTCAGGGGGAGACGAGAAGTACATTCACTCGAGTCAATCTTGTAGATTGATCAATCCTGTAGATTGGGTCTTAAAAGGACTAATAGTTGCACTTTTTGCAGCGTGTATATTCACTCGAATCAATCCTGTAGATTGGATCTTAAAAGGACTAATAATTATAATTTTTGTAGCATATACATACCATGTACTCTTTTCCTCACTAGGTTTTTCCCAATGAGTTTTTCTAGTGTGGTTTTTAACGAGGCACGAGTATGATATAGTAATGTCAATTGGGGTGTTGCAAATATATAAATACTTAAATAGACGAACCCCGAAATCCTGAAGATTATGCCCTGAAGGCTTACGGTTGTACTCTTTTTCCCTTAACTAAGTTTTTCCCACAGGGTTTTCTTAAGTTATGGTTTTTAATGAGGCAACCCGTACCATATATGATTCTGCAAATATCATGTACTCTTTTCTTCAACTAGGTTTTTCCCACATGGTTTTCCTAGTGAAGTTTTTAACGAGGCATGAATGTATTCAAATATACCATCTATATACCTTGTACTATTTTCTTGTCTAGGTTTTTCCCACAGGGTTTTCCTAGCAAGTTTTTAACGAGGCAAGGTCATGGATACATAATGTCCAAAGGGGAGTGTTATAAAATATTTATTAATAATGTGGACATTATGAGTAGCTTTTGTAACAGTTGTAACGCTCATATTTATATCTATCATTTACTGCTTTCCGTTACAAATGTATTATATATATCTCTTCCTTGTACTCAAATGATGAGTTGGTATAATGGAATCTTTACTCCTCTTTCACCCATATCTCTTGTTCTATATTTTACTTTTATCTTTTATATTATTGATACAAATGCTACAACTCACCGGTTAGGAGCTAAAGGCCAACGGGCACAAACAACATTACAACATCTACCTCTATCTTTTACTTATTACGATTTAATTTCTACGATTTATCTTTTCAGTTGATTGAATCGGTATTCACACACAAGCACGTCATTTCAAGTTACTTAAAAACCAAACATGCTACAATTTTATTTTCTTTCTAGAACAAACAGTGTGAAAATTGGACACAAGTCATTCCAAACTTTCAAAGTGTATTATTTTAAATTAAAGAGACAATTCGAACAGAGCAACACCGACCAAACAACAATTTTCTATTACACCATGTGAGTAATGTGACTTGATGAGTTGCTGGCTTAGTTCATTATAACATAATTTCACAATTAGATTAATTAAAACATCGACTATTATATTCAGCAATCTCGTATTTTTAAAATGAAACAAAATCAATAAATGAGATACGTAACTCCATATATGTGGGGAAAACTCTTTGTTTGTTAGTGAAGATATTAATTGTTCCACCTGTCTAGTGTAAAGTTCATTAAAAATATACTAAATAATTATAGTTCACACCTGTACACTGGCATTAGTTTTAATTTAGACTAGGAAAATTTTTATTTGCATACAAAATTTAATACATAAATTCATACGTGATTACCTAAATTTTCACAATTTTTGTTATTCGTTGACTAGTTATTCGTGAATTGGTGAATTTCACCACTAGTTTTAAATGATCTTACATTCTTCTCCCTAAAACTGAATCCTCAATTTCAAGTGCGCTCCACACCCCGACTCGACAAAGAATTTGATAGAATGGCTCAGCAGACGGCAAATTATGCTGTGGACCCGTGTCCACCATGTGCATGGTGACATGCTGTACGTTCATAATTTTTATATTGTAGATTCATAATTTTTAAACTGTAGATTCATAAAATTTATAATGTAGATTCATAATTTCTATACTGCATAATTTTCTTTACTGTAGATTCATAATTTCTAAACTGTATAGTTATCAAATTATGAATCTACAGTACAGAAATTATAAATCTGCATTATAATTTTTATGAATGTACAACGTGTCCACCATGCACATGGTGGACAGCAGACAGGGTCAAATATCAGTGTGCATAAGGAAAGATATCTGTCCACTTTGACATAATTTCCACACTGTGACTACGGAGGTTTGAACCTTAGTCTCTTCTCTCAAATACTATATATTGAACCAGTAAGCTAAGCTCGTAGAGGCTTAATTGATCTTACATTAACATAAGTAAAGCATGTTGTGGGTCTAATTTGTGTGCATTTAATATTATCATCATTACACGAGATTTTAGAAAATGTAGAATGTGATTATCAGAACATCGGAAATGATCATGGGAAGTAGGGACAGATATGAACAGATTGCAGGCAAATGAAATTGACATACAAACAGTTAGCCCGCCAGCCAATTAAGTTGAAATATAATAAATTAATAATCACGTGGCAAACCAAATTGGAATATTATATACATCTAGCAGCCAGCCAGATTTCAGTTACCTAGCACAACTTATGTATATAAATATATTGGTTACACAATATGTATTTGCAAAGCAGTAAGAGCAAAGCTAAGCGAAGTGAGTTAGCAAACAATTCAAGAATCAACAATGGCTGGAAGGTGGTCTCTTCATGGCATGACTGCTCTAGTTACGGGTGGAACTCGTGGCCTAGGGTAATTTCTTTCAATTCAAACACTGCTGGAAATTATTGAATTTCCGACCACTTAAAAATGATCTTAAATCATGTTGAAAGCAAAAAGTGGTCGGAAATAGTAACAAAAGTTTTTCTGGATATCAAAAGTGGTCGGAACAAGGCTTTCGACTTGATTTAATATCACTTTCAGGTGGTCGAAAATTTCATAATTTTCAGCAGTGAAATATGATTAATCCCTTTGTCCATTTGTGTAGATTCTTTTTATAACATTATATTATCAAAAGCGTTACATTTTTTTTCTTGCTCTATCCATATTAGGCATGCAATAGTGGAAGAACTGGCAAGTCTTGGTGCAACTGTTTACACATGTTCACGTACCGAGGAGGAGCTTGACGAGTGCCTGCAAAATTGGAAAGGCAAGGGATATAATGTTTTTGGTTCTGCATGTGACATATTACAACCATCTCAACGTGAAAATCTAATCCAATTAGTCAGCAAACAGTTTGACGGAAAGCTCACCATTTTGGTAAGAAACAAGATAAATAAATAAATTGATTTTGGTTTCATATCAATAGATATAATAGAGTTTAGTTAAACTAATTTGAGATATTTTTACCATAGGTAAACAATGTGGCTAGACTTATACCAAAGGAAACTTTAAAATCAGATGGTCAAGATTTCTCTAATACTATTGGCACAAACCTTGAGGCTTCTTTGAACCTTTGCCAACTTGCACACCCATTGTTGAAGGCCACAGGAAATGGAAGCATTGTCTTCATCTCTTCATGTTCTAGTTTTGTTTATGCTCCTTTTCACACTATCTATGCTTCAACCAAAGGTATGATTTAAGGGCCTTAAGTTATGATCTTATTTTGTTATATATTATCAAACATGCCATTTGCAGATGAATTGAATGAACTAATAAATGCTTTCCTTTTCTTTTTTGTCTCTTAGGGGCTATTAATTCACTTGTAAAGAATTTAGCTTGCGAGTGGGCAAATGATAACATTCGCGTCAATGCAGTTGCTCCCTGGCTCATGAGAACCTCTCTCACCGAGTCATCAAGAGTAAATTTCATTCTTTTAATCTTTTATTAATGTTTTTATAATATAAACACTTTCCTCATTTCATCTAGTTTTATAACGTAATAGGGAGAATTCGGTGCCGTAATAGAAGCTTTGATCCGACGGACACTGCAACACCGGCTTGTAGAGCCTAAAGAAGCTTCAGCTGCGGTGGCATTCCTCTGCTTCCCAGCGGCTTCTTTTGTCACTGGTCAGATTATTTCTGTAGATGGTGGAGGCTCAATCTATGGTCTTTGAACCAGCTACCATATGGATTATTGGATTAAGGATCCTAACCTGCTAAACACAACTTATAATAAAGAGAAGATTTAATTTCTGTGTGTGGTTTTACCATATTTAATTTACAACGACTATATGTAATGAGAAAGATATGTTATTATTGGCCCGTATGAGTAGCTCAACTGGTCATAGAGGTGAAACTTTGAAAGAAAGATATGTTATTATTGTACTTTGAGGTATTCAAAACCAAGGAATAAATTGAGTCAGTAATTTCATTAGCCAACAAAAATGGTGCAACTTTTACAGTTTTACGCCAATAGCAAATATATATTATCTTAGTTGGGGGAAATTTTAAACAATTCATTATTTATAACTTAATTGAATTTACATTTTCAAAATTAACCTTTAACAATTATTTATGCATATATGATGACGAGTAATTTACTCACGCCTTGCATGAAAAAGATTTTAATAAGGCCTTGTTTGGTAAACTTAGCTAAAAAGCTATAAGTTAGGAGATGAAAGTTGAAAAGGAGTTGAAAGCTAAAAAGGTATAAGTTCGGAGCTGAAAACTGAAGAGTTGTTAAGCTAGCTGTTATGATTGAAAATGTTTGGTAAAATTAGCTTTTTGATATAAGCTGATAAATGTAAAAAAGGTCATCTTCATAAAATTTAAATTAGTTTGTTTACATATTAAAATTTAACATTTTGTCTTTAAAAAAAAAAAATTAACATTTTGAACTAAAACTATTAGTATAATCATGATCTAGCATCTCATAATGAAGTAGCAATATTGTTGCAAGTCTCATAATAATAATAATAATAATAATAATAATAATATTTGCGGTGAAAGTTGCAGATAAAGGAGAAGAGAAAATGGTTTTAATTGGGAAGAGTAAATTATGTCATTTCTTTAAAATAATAAGTATAAAGATGAAAAAAAAAAAACTAGGAAGCTAGGAGCTTATTTGAAACACTACCTAAGGTAGCGTTCCAAAATAAGTTTTTATTTTAAGCTAGGAACTTATTTTGAGAACATTATCAAACTGTGCTTATAGCTTATTAGTAGCTTACAATAAGCTATAAGCTACTAAATAAACTCTGCTAAACAGAGTCTAATTTTACTTTAAATAATTTAAAGTTTTAGTGCCATTTATTCTTTAAATAGAAAAAAAAAATTATACATACATACATATGATGGTTTTGTTCGAATCATGCTCACCATAAAGCGGGTATAAATATATAGAATGTGGGATAGGAAAGTAGTAATTTTATTACATGAGCATTATGCCTAAAAGAGTATGCACAGTACACGAGATAATAACCAAAAAATAACGATGCAAATAATAAACAAATGGTAAATAAAGTAATATGTGCCATAGTCCAAGTCGTGGACTAGGAACAATAATTTAACTACTGAGAGATCAAACTCGACTCTTTGGTGTTGAGGTCAAGACCAAGAACCACCAAGTTAGGAATGATGTAATGACCAAACAAGATGATGTTTAAATGAAGCAATACACCCCCTATTTGTAGTGCCCCCCTAGTAATCCCCCTCTACTTGCCACGTGTAGGGCCTCTCTCCATCCTTCCTTCTCACCACCCACGTGTCCCTTTGACTCCTTCCTACACACAGACCACACACCTCATCTTCTCACGCACGCACGCCTCCAACGCCACCCCCCACCCCACTACGGTGGGGCGCTGGGAATACAACTCAGTGTTAATAATTATTGTACTTAGATTTTGATGATGTATGTTATGATTGTATTAAGATTTTAGATACCCCATTTCTTTTCTCTTTAGTGTAGGCGCAAAAAAAAAAAAAAAAAAAAAAAACTTCTTTGTAGATCAGCTTGAGTTCTTTCAAGCTGACTAGCATTGTTTTTCAACAGATGTTGCTCTAGTTCAAGCTACAGTAAATCATCATACATGAAGACAACATATCAGCTAAAGTGAGGACTAAAGAGAAAACAGCGGACTAGTAGGATCTCTCGACAGAGTTTACCAGTACAGTAAATTAGTAGACATCTACTAGCTAGCTCCTAACTTTGTTTTTGGAAAAGTCCTAAGTCACTTCATCAACAGGAGAGACGTAGCTAATCCAACCAAATCTGAGAAGGTTTATGAGATTAAGACACTTGGATTCCTCCCAGCATTTGATGAAGAAAGGACAGTTGTTGCACGTTTCTTTTCAAATTCACGAAGAATGAGAAGAAGAGGACAAAAGTTGTTACCGAAAAGGACAAGCAGTACATTGCAGCACATTGGAGTGTTGTGACAGAATTGAAAACCTATCGCACTAGGGGGCAACAATCATATTCATATTCATGGAGAATTACCAACCTACCATCACCTCTATGCTATAAATAGAGGACTCCGAATCTCAGAAAAGTTGCTGGCAAAAAATAGAAGTTAGATTGATATACGTGTGTCATCACTAAGATTTTTCAAGAGATTTCTAGTGCAAGATTTAAGACAGAGACAAAGTTTCATTGCAAAATCCAGAGCAACTTAGAGCTTATGTGAGATTCATATTCACGTCTAACAGTTTGTGAAAACAAACAAAATCACATTCTACATGTTTGTGGTTGGAGATTTTCTAGTCAAGGTGACTTTGTGGCTGATCCTTGGAGTTGAAATTTAGGTTTTGAAGATCTGCGGAGGTGACATCCGAATCGAAGGAGACCATCGATAGTCAGCAGTGCTTTATAGATACACTATGTGACTTTGCACTTGTATTATTGTCAAAAATACTAGTAAAACCTCCTTGGACGTTATAGGAAAGAGTGGAGCAGGCAGTTACCGAACCACTATAAAAATTTAATGTCTCTATCTTTTTTTGCTATGATTTATCTTTTTAGTTGATTGAATCAGTATTCCCACACAAGCACAACATTTCAACTGACTTAAAAATCAAACATGCTACAATTTTATTTTCTTTTTGGACTTCCTTTGCTTATTAACTAGATATGTAACTTGTATCATATTTGATAATTGACTATTAATATTTTTAAATTAGGTGCATGACTTTGTAATTTGTATCACATTTGTTTCTATTGTCAAATTTTTTGACCAACTATTGTCGAAATTTCAACGAGAAAAATATTTTTTTTTTGGTAATTATTTTTCTGAAAATATTTATTTAATTAGAACATATTATTTTTTTGGAACAAATACCAATTCTGGTTCCACGAGTATTAGCAAAATGATAATTTTGGTCCACATGTTTAATTCCTACCAATTTTCATCCATGCCTATTGTTTTAATACTAATTTTCATCGACGACTATTGTTTTAGTGCCAAAATTATAACGTCGGTCACCACTTCGTTTAAAACATGCTGAAATATGAAATTATTAAGGAAATTTTTGTCCTTTTCAAATTAAGATCCCAATTTGAGAATGAATAAAGGGATTTAAGCCCTAAGATCAATCCCAATTCGCAGTTATTCTCCTCAAATTAAGATATGATAAGGAGGAGAACTGTGAATTGAGATCAGGACTTAAATTCCTTTATTCATGCTCAAATTGTGATCTTAAGTTGAAAAGGACGAAAATACACTTAAAAATTTTAGATTTCGACATGTCTTAAATGGAGGGGTGACCAACATGATGAATTTTAGCACTAAAACAATAGTTGTGAATGAAAATTGGTACTAAAATAATAGTCATTGACGAAAATTGGTAGGATTTAAACATGTGAACCAAAACTGTCATTTTACTAAAACTCGTGGGACCACAATTGGTATTTACTTTCTTTTTTTTTTTTTTTTTTTTTTTTTTTTTTTCTGTTAAAATTTCGACAATAATTGGCAAGAAATTTGGCTACAAAATTGAATGAAATGAGATACAAATTATATAGTCATACATTTAATTTGAAAATATTAATAGTCAAGTATCAAATGTGATACAAATTATATATTCTTGTACTTAATTTGAAAATATTAACGGTCAAATCAAATTTGATACATGTTCAATAGCCAACTACCAAAAGTGAAATTTTTTAAAAAATGTATGTTGCATTGAAAACCCTGAAGAATCTCCAGCGGACCAGCGCCATTTCATCGCCCATGCCCATGCCCTCGCCCTCAGCCTCAGCCTGGGAATCGATCAGAAGTCAAGCAGTCAAGCTAGCGCTCCTCAGATTCATATTTTCTAGATCTGGTATGGGCAAGTATTTTTCTGTAATTGTTTTTGCTTTTTGTTCATATGCTAGTTAAGCTTTTTCGGTCCGAGGTCAAGCTCCTCATTCCTCAGATTCATATGCTTTCTGTTCGTAATAATGGGCATATATTCTGAAGTTTGAACTTGTAAATGCTACTGTGTTGTTATGTTACTTCCTTCCCCCTTGGTTAAGAAAAAGGCAATTTAATGGAAAGATAACTTCAAGTTCAGTGTGTAGCATCGCCTAAGTAAATTCCATAAAAAATGATGATATGACAAAGGAGTTTGTATATTAATTGCCATTCAAATAGTAACATATACGTTTTCAAATTCGAAATTGTATATATGATATGAAAGTGGATACATTTTCAAATTTGAACACTTAGTACTACGAAAATTATAGTAAGAAAGGATATATATGTTTTAGTGAATGGAAATATGCTTTTCTTAATTCTTGATTTGGATTTCTTCAGTAATATGCTTTTCTTGAGGCTATTTATCTTTATCTTTTTTTTTTTTTTTGGGTTGAAATATCTTAAACTAGTTCTGATGCTCTCCAAGCCCACACGGGTATGGGTAAGATTTAACTGGATTTGGGACAGGTTTGGATGACAACATATGAAAAATATTTTTTACATAATATGAAGAACACTGTCTAGCATATGCAGGTAGTATTGAATCAGTTCTATTGTTAAATTGTGTAGAAAAATTGAATTTGATGCGATCGTGAAGAAATGCATTTTGCCAATGGTCTCTATTTATATTTCCAACTTTGACTTCATTTTTGGGCAAATTTGGAGGGTCTTTTTTTTTTTTTTTTTTTCCTTCAAAAAATTATTTTTTAAAATTTCTTTTTATCTTTTATTTTATTTTATTTTTAACCTTATTTGAAATACTTGGTGCACTTCTAGGGAGTATTTCAGTCACATGTAATTTTATAGAAATTCATCAAGTATTTTCCTTCAAATAAAATTACAGTTAGGACTTATGAGATTATACTTTTTTTTTTTTTTTTTTCTTTTTATAAGAACTCCAAATTTGCCAACAAAAATGTGGTCACAATTGGAAATAAATACAGAGATTTTTGGCAAAAGGTATTTCTTCACAATCAACATCAAATTCAAATTTGCTTCACAATTTAACAATAGAAAATCAATTTTGAGGTTGAAATACTACTTGCATACGCTAGACACAGGTTTTCTTCTTATTAGTTAAAAAACATAGTTTTCATATATAGTGTCTTTACATTAATGTTTCTCAGCTTCTCATGTTTTCATTCTCCCACCCAAATCCCAATGATCACACAATTTGACTGCTAACTCTTCCTAATCTTCTTTATCCACAGTACTTGCTTCTTGTGCACTATAATTGTTTTCATTCCACGCAGGCCCCACGAATCAGTCGGCCATCTGCTCCTTCTTGTCATATCAATACAGTTATACAGTTGTTTTAGTGTATGAATTGTTTATGGAGGCTTTTCGGAGCATGTAAAGCTCAGGGGTCGTTAACTCAATTGCATTGCCATTTGATAAAAACTGGGTTAATTCAAGATGTTACCTTTGTTGCAAAGCTATCTGATTTCTATACTACATTTGAACTTTTCGAAAATGCGCTCAAATTGGTCGACGAAATTCCTAGTAGAAGTGTATACATATGGAACCGCATCCTTCAGCGTTGTTGCAGGGAAAAACGATTTGAAGAAGCATTATCTATCTTTTCTTATTTGTTTTCTTGTGAAAAGCCTGATTCTTTTACTGTGGGTAGTGCATTGAAGGCGTGTTCTGGACTAAGGGCAGTTAATTTCGGCAAAACGATTCATTCGTTAATTAAGAAACATGATATGCTTGATTCAAATTTGTTTATTGGGTCAGGCCTTATTGAATTTTATTCCAAGTGTGGAAAAATGGGCGAGGCTCTACGAGTTTTTGAGGAATACCGCAATCCAGATATTGTTTTGTGGACTGCACTGGTCTCTGGGTATGAGCAAAACGGTGAGCCTGAGAGATCGCTAACTACTTTTGCTGAATTAATGATGTCTGATGGTGTTAGCCCTGACAATGTAGCCCTTGTTAGTGTTGTTTCTGCTTGTACTCAGTTGTTCAATATGAATGCTGGAAGGAGTATTCATGGGTTTGCAATTAGAAGATGCTTTGATATATACCTGCCATTGTTGAATGCTTTTTTGAACTTATATGCAAAGACTGGGGATATCCTTGCTGCAGAAAATTTGTTTAGTGTGATGGAAGAGAAAGATGTGATATCATGGGGCTCTATGATCTCATGCTATGCACACAACGGGGCTGCTAACAAGGCACTTGGTCTTTTTAATGAGATGATCCTTAGGGGAGTTGAGCCCAACTCGGCTAGTTTTATCAGTTCTTTGCAAGCATGTGAAGCTGCTGGGAATTTAGTGGAGGGGAGAAAGATACACGAACTTGCAGTTCTTAAAGGATTTGGGTTCGATATCTTGGTATCCACAGCTTTGATTGAGATGTACATGAACTGCAGCTGCCCGAGGGAAGCAATCATGGTTTTTGAGGAAATGCGAAATAGAGATGCTGTTTCTTGGTTTGCTGTGCTACACGGGTGTGTTAAGAATGGAATGACACACAAGTCGATGGTAATTTTTCATGATATGTTGGCTCGTGGAATCCAGCCCGATGCCAATGTCATGGTTAAACTTTTGACAGCTTGTTCGGAGTTGGGTGTTCTTCAACAAGTTTGTTGTCTTCACAGTCGTGTAATTAGAAGTGGGTTCGACAATAATTCCTTTGTTCGGGCATCGCTTATAGAATGCTATGCAAAATGTGGTAGCTTGGGCGATGCCATCAACGTCTTCGAGGAAATAAACGATAGAGATGTTGTCATTTGGAGTTCTATGCTTGCAGCTTATGGAATTCATGGGCAAGCGAGGGAATCGATCAATTTATTTTCGGAAATGGTTACAAGTTCCGTAAATAGGCCCAATAACGTTACCTTTCTCTCGATCTTAGCTGCTTGTAGCCATGCTGGTCTAGTTAAGGAGGGCATCGAATTCTTTAATACAATGGTGGATCACTATCACTTGATGCCGGAGTCGAAGCATTATTCCGCATTGGTTGATCTGCTGGGACGAACCGGGGAATTGGACAAGTCCATTAGTGTCATCAATCAAATGGAAAATCGGATCGGAGCTGATGTATGGGGAGCATTGCTCGGTGCCTCTAGGATACATCATAATTCGGAGATAGGAGAGAATGCTGCGAGAAATCTTTTCCAGTTGGATCCCGATAACATGGGATATCACGTTCTGTTATCGAATATTTATGCAGTTGATGGGAAATGGGATGATGCTAGTGAATTGAGATCTTCAATTAAAGACAGAGGGCTGAAAAAGATACCTGGTGAAAGTGTTGTGTTGTTGAATTGAGGAGTAAAGTACATTGCTTCATAGCTGATAATCTCAGTGGCAGTTTGCTGGATTGGCTGCAAATCACTCTTATATTTCAAGGAAGAACAACTCCGGTTAGGTAACATCCTTTATCAATATTCATATTTGTTGAGAGTCACACACGGAAAAAATAAGAGAGAGAATATGAGTTTATAATGTCATGATTTAGACTAGCTAATTGACAATCATTATACTGTGGATCAGGGTCTATTGTCCTAAATGATGCAGTTTTGAATTTTAAATTGTATAGTTTTGACAATGATTATTCACGTTACAGAATAATCATGAAGTTGCAATTCTGATACGAGAATTAAAAAAATTAAAATTTACAATTTTGGTATGTTAGAATTGCAAGGCTAAGACTTTAAAAGGGTGCAAACAGCGCGTCTTATCAGATGAGAAATGAAAGGTAACAGAAGACGTGAAAAGATTGATGACCAACCAAATTGGAATATGATAAATACTTTTGTGGCCTGCCAAGTTGGAATACAATAAACACATAATGGAATTAATTTCAACCTAAGAAATCACAAAGAACCAATAGTTTGGTTTCACTAAGGTTCGAACCCATAATCTCCTACATAGGGAGAGGAGCAACTTGATACCAGTGAACCACAAGGTCTTTGGTAATAAATTATTACTTTATCTTTCTTATTATTATTACAAATGTGGTCCATGTCTTTCTCTGTCAGTTTAACGGTCCAAGTTCACCCGGTTCGCTCCGAGAGGCACAAAAGTTGGCCCAAAGGGAATCATCACTTGTGGGAATCGAACTCAGGTTATCCCATAATTTTTCTTCATAAAGAGAGCTCATTTGCCACTTGAGCTACCCTGTTGGGTAGGGGTGTTCATTCGGTTAACCGTTCAGTTAACCGAACCGAATTAACCAAAATTTTTTTTGCCTTAACCATTAACCGAACCGAAATGCGCTCTACCGAATTAACCGAACCGAACTTTTTTTCGGTTAATCGGTCGGTTAACCGATTAACCGAAATTTTTAACCCTAAAATTGAAAATCCTAAAAATAACTCCTAAAATAATAAATTCAATTAAAATAAAATACATATCATAATAAATTCATATCAAAACATACAAAAATAATACCATAAGTCCATAATCCATTTGACTATTTGGGATTTTAGTACATATTATATATTTATATTTAATATTTAATATATTATATATATATTCCAAAATTCGGTTAACCGTTCGGTTAATTCGGTTAACCGACACTTTCGAACCGAATTAACCGTTAACCGAATTTTAGGAAAACCTTTAACCATTCTCCGAACCGAAATATTTCGGTTAAAAAACGGTTAACCGAATTATGTCGGTTCGGTCGGTTAACCGAAATTTCTCCGAAATTTGCACACCCCTACTGTTGGGTTCATTATATTATTATTAATTATAGAAGGTCATTTTAGTCTTTATTTAATTCTTTCCTTTCAATTCTCAATCATTATATTCTTTTCTATCAAATAATGTAATTTAAATTTTCATTTTATTCTTTTTCCCAAAGAATTATAATTCTTTTCTCCTCTAATTCCCTCTTTTCCAAACAAATGTCATGTAAGACTTTAAAAGGGTGCATACGAGTCCGGTTTTTGACATGTGCATAATGCCCAACAGCACACCGCCTCAATTTTAGAGGCACAATATCTATTTTTAACCTAGTTACTTAAGAAATTAAAAAAAAAATACAATTAAGCTCACATTCTTTCACGTCTCTTTCTACCTTGCTTAAAATTTATTAATTTTTTTCTCCAAATCGTGCACCACCGTTGAAGATGACAAAATTCTTCCTTCATTAATTTTACAACTTTCATCAAATTTCTTTGATTATTATCAAAGTTGCAATTCAATTTTCATTTCTCTCTCCTAATTAACTGAGGATTATGTTTATACTTTTGGTAAGACATCATTTATTTATAAAAATAGGCTACAAAAATTTTGAAAAGGGTCCGGGTGCAAACAGAGCGCCTTATCAGATGAGAAATGAAAGGGAACAAAAGACGTGAAAAGATTGATGACCAACCAAATAGGAATATGATAGACACTTTTGTGACCTGCCAAGTTGGAATATAATAAACACAGGATCCATCAAATTGGAATATAAATATATAATATACTTCAAGCCAGCCAAATTGGAATATAATATACTTCAAACCGCCACAACTTATTTTTCTGTACGTATATATATTTGGTTACATATCTTAACATTTGCAAAGCAGTAAGAGCAAGATCGAAGTGAGCAAAAAATATAACATAATGGCTGGAAGGTGGTCTCTTCATGGCATGACAGCCCTTGTCACCGGTGGCACTCGTGGTTTAGGGTAACTTATTTCAAACTTGAACATAATTAATCTTTTTCTCATTTGGTGCATATTATCTTATATTATTACCAAAAGATTTACATTATCATTTTTGTGTATTATTAGGCATGCAATAGTGGAAGAATTGGCTAGTCTCGGTGCGACTGTGTATACATGTGCACGTACTGAGAAAGAGCTTGATGAGTGTCTTCAGAATTGGAAAGTCAAAGGATATAATGTTTTTGGTTCTGCATGCGACATATTACAACCGTCTCAACGCGAAAAGTTAATCCAATCAGTGAGCAAGCAGTTCAACGGAAATCTCACAATTTTGGTAAAAAAACAAATAGGGGCAATAAATAAAGTAACTGTTTGGTTTCATGTCATAAAATATATTACAACGCAGGTAAACTAATGTTGAGTTTTTTTTACCATAGGTAAACAATGTGGCAAGACTTATACCAAAAGATACATTAAAATCAGATGCTCAAGATTTTTCTGATACCATTGGCACAGGCCTTGAGGCTTCTTTGAACCTTTGCCAACTTGCCCACCCATTGTTGAAGGCCACAGGAAATGGAAGCATTGTCTTCATCTCTTCATGTTCTAGTTTTGTTTATGCACCTAATCATACTATATATGCAGCAAGCAAAGGTATTGGATTGAGGGAAATAATTTCGAATCTTATTATATTGTTACTATCGAACTTTTCAGTTCGAGTTAAATGTACTAAATGTTTTTAATTTTCCCTCTTAGGGGGTATTAATTCACTTGTGAGAAATTTAGCTTGTGAATGGGCAAGTGACAACATTCGCGTCAATGCTGTTGCTCCATGGCTTATGAGAACCTCCCTTACTGAGTCATCAAGAGTAAATTTCATTCCTTTTACTTAATATTTTTATTTAAAAAATAAACATAATTAATGATCAATTGATCTTTATATAATATGATATGAACTCTTTCATCATTTCATATGGTTTTGCTATAGGGAGAATTTGGGGCAGTAATAGAAGCTTTGATCGGACGGACACTGCAACATCGGCTTGTAGAGCCAAAAGAAGCTTCGGCGGCGGTGGCGTTCCTCTGCTTCCCGGCGGCTTCTTTTGTCACTGGTCAGATCATTCGTGTGGATGGTGGTGCATCAGTCTATGGTCTTTGAACAATTCAACCCCTGTATGAAATAAGGACTATAATTGTTAAACGCAACTACGGGAGATTTTTGTGTCATTTTTTTTTTCTTTACCATATTTAAATTACCATGACTCTATGTAACGTAAAAGATATATTGTATTTTGAGGTATTTTTCAAAGTCAAGAATAAATTGGGTTAATAATTTCATTATTAGCCTACGAAAGTGGCATATTGTTTACGTAATTCTTATATTGTGGATTATGGTTCGCTTTACCCTAGTCCAAAACAATATTATTTCAAGATACTATAGTTAATAGTCATACGTACTCTTTAGCGTGCATTATAGTCCGATCCTGATGCATTTGTAGTGTAATATTTATATATATATTCAACTTTGTTTTTATGAATATATAGAAGTAACATTACGAATCTACTGTGTGTGTCTGTGTGTTTGTGAGCAAATACTAATCCATGAGTATTAACAAAATGATTGTTTTGGTCTACATGTTTAATGCCTATCAATTTTTATCCACGACTATTATTTTAGTACCAATTTTCATCCATGACAAATATTTTAGTGTCAAAATTCATCACGCTGGTCACCCCTCCGTTTAAAAAATGCCAAAATCTAAATTTTTAATAGTATTTCTGTTCTTTTCAACTTAAGATCCCAATTTGAGCATAAATAAATTAAAGATATATATTTAAGTTCTAAGATCGATCCCAATTCGCAATTCTCTTCCTCATCCTACCTTAATTTTAGGAGGAGAACTATGAATTGAGATCGATCTTAGGACTTAAATTCATTTATTCATGCTCAAAATGGGAACTTAATTTGAAAAGGACGAAAATACCCTTCATAATTTCATATTTCGGCATGTCTTAAACGAAGGGGTGATCGACATGATGAACTTTGGCACTAAAACAATCGTTGTGGATGAAAATTGGTAGCAAAACAATAATCGTGGACCGAAGTTAGTAAGAATTAAACATGTAGACCAAAATTGTCATTTTGTTAATACTCATGGGGCTAAAATTGGTATTTGCTCATATATATATAAAAATGTATTGTAATATAAGTTTGTTTGTAGGCCTTAGCCCTTTTGATGAATGCGAAGAGCAGCCGGAAATGTAAAGAAAAGATATGGAAATATCAAGGGAACAATTTCGTATTCAGCATCATCCAAACCTCCATTCAAGGAGTACAACATTCTTCCAAAAGATTGAACCCCAACCCTAAGGACCCCCTACACCCCAAAATCGCCAGGTTGAAGGAGTACAACATATATGGAAAGAAGGAGTGCAAGATATATATATATATATATATATATATATATATATATATATATATATATATATATATATATATATATATATATATATATATATATATATATAGGGTGCAGATCCCATGAGACCCCCTTATTAAATGAGATGGTGAGATGAGATCCCATCCATTTATAAATTTGTAATGGAAGGATGAGATTGAATGAGAAATATAGTGTAAATAAGGCCATAATTTAATTAGGAGGGTTAAAGAGTAATTCTATTAATGTGTTAATTTTGGTTAGAATTAGAATGGAATCTTTGAATTAATGAAAGACCACAAATATAATGGGAATAATTTGTAATCCAATATGGTTAGTAGCTGTACCACTCAAACCGTGAACAAAGGGTGTTGAAGCGCAAGAACATTGCAGAAGTTGAAGATGGCGACTATTATCACAGGTATGAGCTGCTGCCTTGATTTATAAATTGTTTTTGGACGTTGGTCTGTGCACTGTTGACCGACGGCGTGTGCGTAATAAAACGTAACGAATTTGTTTTTGTGTCATGTTGATTTGTTTCTTTTAATTGATATGAAAGGGGAACACGGGGCATTTGGAGGTTTTTGTTGTTATTTTGTATTAAAATGAAGAATGCACAAGCATTTGGGTAATTGGTAGAGTGTTGGTGTGTGCGTTTGTTTAAGTTGACGTGTGCATGTTGTACATTACAGGGGGTTGGAATTGGTTTGACATTCATTTTGTATCCAAAATTATTACTATAAGGGGTGTGTGTGGAATGATATTGTTAGTGCATTTTGAATGAATTAGACGGTATGAGTATTATTTGGTTGGTGTGCTATGGAACGCAGTGTTTATACACATCGGTGAGTGCGTGTGTGTAGAAATGTTTGTGCATCGCGGTGGGATAAGGCATGAGTATGTTGTTTTTTGGCCCCGCGGTTTTATTGTAGAAAATTAGTATTAGATGTATGCTTAATGTATTGTGCTTTCCATTGTTTTTTTTTAAATGGAAAAGAAGGTAATAGAGGTTTTCCGTTTATTTTTTCTTGCGCATATTTGAATAATTAGGGTGGTGTGTTCGTACATGTAGTTGAGCGTGTGCATGTTCCTTTGTGTGTTATGCGTGTATATGTGTGCATTGTTTTGTACAATGGTTGTGTGCATGCAACCGTATTTTAGTTGTGTGTCATATATGATTTTTCTTCTATCATGTGGTCTGTGCGTGATGTAAAAAAGAATGTACACTATTTTAAAATGATGTAACAGATTGTTTGCCATTATTTTATGGAATATATTATTTCTTAATTTCATAAAATAGTAATAACTACACTCTCATATGAGTAATTATTAGCTTAATTATGGAAGCATGTGGGTAATAGTGTGTGCAATTAATTGTGTATGTGCAATCTAAGTGCGTAAATATGGTGTGCGTATGATTGGAATGACGTATGATTTTGCCGGTTTGTGCATGAAGATAGAATAGCGTAAGACATGAGAAATTGGAAAAATTTTAAAAATGAGTGGAAAATCGGTAGTCTGCATTGTTCATTTAAATAAATAAATAAATAAATAAGGCATTCAAAGAAACGGCAAAACCGCATCAATTCATCCGCATCAAGCCCATCATCCGAGCCATCCGAATCCGAGTCTGGTTGGGCAACAGGGGGTGCTTCAACATCCTCGGACGACAGCAATTGTACAGCCTCTACCGCATCTTCAGCATTGACACCTAGTCATACCAAAATTAATGCACAGTTACCAAAAAAAGTTACCACAACATAGTAAAAATAATTATCATACACCTGAGCACACACTTCACCCCGCCCTCGCCCCCCAGCGCGCAGACCTAAATTTGGATCCTAACAACCCAATATTACGCACAAGCTTAATACCTAGAACGCACCCACTTCCCCTCACCAGCACACCCACCTAAATTTGGATCCTAAAAACACAACATTAGGCACAAGCTTAATACCTAGACCGCACCCACCAATTACTATTCCCAGTATTACGCACAAACTTCACACCAAGAACGCACACACTAATTACTACCATATGCTCTACAATATTTTAATAAATGTGAACAACAAAAGTCAATGACGATTACCTTTCAAAAAAAAAAAAAACCAATGACGATTAAAGCTACCTGTCAATATACTAAAAATACAAAATAATAATAATAATAATAATAATAATAATAATAATAATAATAATAATAATAATAATATTTCGAATACTTAAAACAAAAATAAAATTATTGAACCCCAAGATTCAAATATGTTCAACAAGCGCACACACTTGCCCTCACCAACGCACACACTTGCCCTCACCAACGCACACACCTACATTCAGATCCTAAACACCCAATAGTACGCACAAGCTTAATACCTAGAACGCACCCACCAATTACTACTTCCAGCATTACGCACAAACCTACATTCAGATCCTAAACAAATTCGTTACGTTTTATTACGCACACGCTGTCGGTCAACAGCGCACAGACCAACGTCCAAAAACAATTTATAAATCAAGGCAGCAGCTCATACCTGTGATAGTGTCGCCATCTTCAACTTCTGCAATGTTCTTGCGCTTCAACACCCTTTGTTCACGGTTTGAGTGGTACAACTACTAACCATATTGGATTACTACTTATTCCCATTATATTTGTGGTCTTTCATTAATTCAAAGATTCCATTCTAATTCTAACCAAAATTAACACATTAATAGAATTACTCTTTAACCCTCCTAATTAAATTATGACCTTATTTACACTTTAGTTCTCATTCAATCTCATCCTTCCATTACAAATTTATAAATGGTCAAGATGTCGTCTCACCATTTCATCTTAATAGGGGTCTCATTGGATTCAATATATATATATATATATATATATATATATATATAGGAAATAATATAATCCCTACAATAAATGCTAAAACCGTTACATCAGTTACAAACATAAATGATGATGATGATATGGCACTTGTGCTCATATGGCACCTGGGTTGAATTATAAAATAAGCACATTGTGCTCATATGGCACCTGGGTTGAACTCTCATATGGGAAGTTGTAAGTTCGAGTTTTAGTGGAGACGTTATCAGCTTTTTGTGCTTCAGGAAAAACCCTTATAACCATAAGCTTCATTATTTTGGGGTTTGTCTACTTAAGCATTTATTTTGCAACTTTTCCCCATTGACAATATTACTATATCATACTCATGCCTCGTTAAAAACCACACTAGAAAAATTCAATAGGAAAAATCTAATGAGGAAAAGAGTGCATGGTATGTATATATGTTGCAGAAAGTATAACTGTTAGTCCTTTTAAGACCCAATCTACAAGATTGATTTGAGTGAATGTATTTTCCGTCTCCCCCTGCAGATAACAATCTTCAAGTTCTACAAAACTTAAAGTAAAAGTCATTGTTTAGGCAACTCAACTGGTCATAGAGGTGAAAGTTTGAAAGAATGATTAGGGATCGAGTCTCACCAGTGGCAGTGAGGGGAGTTAAATATTAATATAACTTGTCCACTATCTTTTTAAATATATCCACTTAGAATTTGTATAAGACAAACTTTATTATCCTCATATAGGATATTGGAGGTAACTTGTCCACTATCTTTTTAAATCTATCCATTTAGAATTTGTATAAGACAAACTTTATTATCCTCATATAGGATATTGGAGGTAAAGAAAAACATAACCAGTTGGGATTTGGCATCATGAGGGTCAAAACAAAGAGCTAATTCCATCTTAGGTAGGAATTTCACGTGGGATTCACTGAAACGCGTTTCAATCTCATAATCTGCCTTTGAACCTACATCATCCCCTGGGGATACCAACATGTAACCTACCCAAGTGGCCTAAGAAAAACACACATTGCTTTATTGCATGAATTTAAAAAATCTTTATAAATCAAAGGTACTAGGAGGATACTTT